GTTATTCCTGTGTTTTGGTGAGATGTTTCCTGTCAATCTTTACTCTGTCTGATTCTTTGATTTTGACCAGTTTCTGTCCTGTGGATCTCGAGTTTTGTCTTGCCCCTGTCTGCTCTGTTTGTCGCATCTGGTCCTGGATTCTACCGGCTTCTGAACCTGGAACTGTCTCCTGACTTCGGCCTTGTATTTCCCTTCTGGACTCTGTTTTTGCTCGGCGTCAGCTGGCATCCGCTCCGCTCACTCTCTCTGAACTGTGACTTTGCTCCAAGTCGTATTCAGCTCCTCATCCAGTCACTGAGCTGTATTCTCCAATCCCTGCAGAGATCCGCCCCACAGCAGACGAGCAGCCCCGCCCACCTGTTTGTTAAATAAATGCTTTAAACTTTCCCACTGTGGGTGGCCTGTGCGGGACATGTTGTTCCCATCCCCTGGGGGCTTTTACTGGGGATAGTCTGGTCCGGGTGCGGAGTTGGGTGCCGGATCCGAAGCAGGAACTAAATGGGCTAGTGTGATTTCAGGAATAGAAAGTACAGATACTGTGTGAAAATATAATGAGTAGAAGTCAGAAGTAGGAAGAAAAATAAGTAATACAGTAAAGTACAGATACCTAAAAAGTGTACTTAAGTAGAGTAATGAAGTATTTGTACTTCGTTACTTGACACCTCTGTCGATAAGGACAAAGGACATTCTTTTTGAGGAACATAAAAAGATAAAAAAAAAAGAGGACGCACATTCACACATAACACTCACTTTCAATAATCTCAGGACAGAGGCCCTGGTGGCCGGTCCCCGGATTGCCGGATGACCCAATAGGTGAACACAGTATGTGGAGTACGCAGAGTTTAAAAACATGGGAACCAAAAAATTGGGATTGAGATTAAGCTATACAGCATGAACGTAGGCATATACTGGCAATGCTGAGATGAACTGTCACACAAATATATTTAAAAGGGAAGTCTGCATGTTTCTCACCGTTACCTTACTCTGATTGATGACCAACAGGGTAAATCATTCCACAAATCAATACATAAATGTTCAAGGCCGTTATTAGGTTGGATGTGCTTCGGTGTTGCAGTGGTTAAAGCGCATGACCCATCTACGGAGGTCTTAGTTCTGTACATGGTTTGAATCAAACCAGTGGTCCTTTGCTGCATGTTTGTACAAAAAAAAAGAGCTGCTAGTGCCGTAAAAGCTTAAAAACAATTGTTGGGTGAGTTCCTAGAGAGCAACGGAGCGGACGCCAGCCGACGCCGAGCAGCAAGTCCAGAAGGGAAATCCAAGGCCAAAGTCAGAAGACAGTTCCAGCTTCAGAAGCCGGTAGAATCCAGGACCAGATGCGACAAACAGAGCGGACAGGGGCAAGACAAAACTCGAGATCCACAGGGCAGAAACTGGTCATAATCAGAGAAACAGACAGACTAAAGAATGCTAGAAAACTGTGCTGATATGTAGAATGTATTCAATAGTAGTTCCAGATATGCCCACTAGGTGGTTCTATTGAGTTATGAATACAAGGTCAACTACTAGAGTAAGGCAGTAGAAGAAGAGATGAAAACAAAGCAAATTGAGTACATGCTCACTGTGGATCATACTTTGTTTAATGACTGAGTTCATAAACAACATATGGTACCAGGAGTAAAACCGGGTGTCAAGCAACTGGATTAACCGAAGATGGAGATGCTAAGGCCACCGGAGGGACTAAAGTTCTTTGGAAATATGAACAGTAATTGGCGATCTTTTAAACAGCAGTTCGAGCTGTACTTATCGGCCACAGGGATGGACAACAAGCCAGGGCCGAGGAATATTGCAATTCTGTTCAGGGTAGCGGGTCTCCAAGCCATGGAGGTCTTCAACACATTCGAGTTTACCAGGGCTGAAGACAAAGAAGACTACAGTAAAGTCATAGAGAAATTCGAAGCATACTGCTCCCCAAAAAAGAACATTGTATACAAGAGGTATGTGTTCCGGTCACGAATGCAACAGGTAGGAGAAACATTTGACTGCTTTGTGACTGATTTAAAACTGAAGGCCCAGTCATGTGATTTTGGAGATTTGAAAGACTCAATGGTTCGTGATCAGATAGTTTATGGAATACTAGACAAAAAGGCGAGGGAAAGGATGCAAGAAGCTAACTTTGGATGAGACTAAGAAGACATGCCATGCTAATGAACTAGCACAACAGCATGCTAAAACGTTTGCAGAAATGAGTGCATCTGTCGTGCATGAGAGTGCTATAGTAGCAGTGATCAGAAAAAGGATAAAAAGACATGACCAGCAGAAAACAAATAAAAATGTAACAGGCTGCAAGCGATGTGGTGGAAAGCATGAGCCAAGGCAGTGCCCTGCATAAGGCAAAAGATGTGCAAAATGCAATGAAAAAATCATTTTGCCAAACAGTGCCTGACTAAGGACAGATCAAAGCCAGTGAGGGTAATTGAGGAAGCAGACCTGGGTGAGACGTTCTTCAAAGATATAGTGTCATTTGAATATGCAAAGAAATGTCAAGCCAAAGAAGAACGTTAAAGGCACACAGAAGATGAAAACTGGATAGTTTCACTGCCAATAAATGGAGCTTTGGTAGCGCTGAAAATTGACACGGGTGCACAAGCCAATCTGATCAGTATGACTGAAATCAGGGCTATGAAAGAAAAGCCAAAAATACTCAAGAAATCAGTGCAGCTGAAAGATTACAATGGAAAAGACATAGAAAGCAAAGGTCAGTGTAGGCTAAGAGTAACTGTGAAGAGCAAAGAATACAGTGTGCTGTTTTCTGTAGTACCTGAGGGTTGTGAGTCACTAATAGGAGGGGTCACCTCAAAGAATCTGAATCTGGTGAGAAGAGT